CAATGAAATGGGTCTGGAGAAACATGAGATGACAAGTGGTGCTGGGAGTTGGATTAACTGAATTACGTATACGAATAAACATGGGTCTGACCACCTACCTTTTATGGAATATACAATTCCGCCACAGACTACGCACGGTCGCGTTAAGACGCTGCTCTCAACCACAACTGGACTCGAGCCTATCTCATTATGCGATTTGGTGTACCGAGGTCATTCTCACCCTCTCCCGAGCGCAAGAGGTAAGCTTTCGAAACTTGCGGTAATTAAAGTGTGTTGACGCCTAAGCTGCGTCTCAATGTAGCTCGAGGTCGCGCTTCCGCGCACCGAGCTACGACTCGTCGGATTATGACGACCTTTCGTCAGACGATGACGATCCATCTATTGACCTCGACATCTCTGTCGATTCGTCGTGCTCGCTCGGCGCTGGAGTCTCGTCAGAAGACGAAAACAAAGAACGTGACAGCGCTGAGGAGATTCTTCTGCCGTTGGACAAACTGCGTCTGAGCGAGAGAGATCCAGAAGAAAAGCGTGCTGTGATGGAGACTGTCGCCTCTATTCGAAACCACGTACGACACGTCGACCTGTATGAACAATGGCAGTCGCAGACGCGAAAAGACGCCTTTGTGCGTAGCAACTTCCTTGTGTCATTCAGTTCATTGACACCACTGTAGCATACCGCGCGCAGACAGCAGTCTACAGTAATCCATCAGTTGCGTGCGGGACAGCGCAAGACCCATGTTTCAGAGCAGCAGCAGCTCGACGCGCAACGTACGAAGGAGATTGACTTCCTCCGAGTCTCGCTAGAGGCACACAGGAATAGCACTGCCGTAGCTGAGAGGCAGCTGCGCGAAAAATGGAGGGAGCGCGATCGGCAGTTGTGGGAACGAATAGAGAAGGCGATCAAGGAGGAGGAGGAAAAGGTGCGCGCTGCGCAAGAAGCCGAGCGGCTCAAGCGAGAAGAGGAAGAGCGCATACAAAGGGAAGAGGAAGAAAGGAGGAAGGCAGAGGAACAGAAGAGGAAGATTGCGGAGGAAGAAGAGAGAAAGAAGAGAATCGAGGAAAAGCTGATGAAGGAGATGGAGGAGATGGAAAGGAAGGAGCAGGAAGAAAAGGCGCAGCAAGCGAAAGCGCAGGATGAGGGTTCGATGAAATTGAGGGAATCGACAGGGATGATGTACTCGGATGATCTTTGGAAACTTGGTCTCCAACATCTCAAGGTAAGACATTTCAGTCTTGGCTTCACTGTACCATGCTGATTTTTTTTCTTCTAGTTTCTTAAAACAGTGGTTATGCGTGCTGTTAAAGGACAAAAAGCACCAGACCCAGAACCCGCGGGGTACCGGGCCCCTCCAGCACCACCTTTGAAGAAGCTTTGGAGCGCACAGCGGCGGAAGATCACGCCTAAGATTGGACAGCTGACGGACGACTCTCGAGAAATTGCACGGATCGTAAGCGCGTGTCTTCCAATTTCAGTGTTTTTTTCTTATGCCCTTTTTACAGACCGATGAAATCAAAGCCATCGTCGCCCCAATCCCGAACATGCCAAAACCAGACGACGCGCAGTATCTTCATTATGCCCTGCTGTCGTCGTTTGCGAAAACGATCATCCTGCAGGCAGAGACGGAGGTGACCGCACACAAAGCTCAAGCAGGTCCGTTAGCACGAGTCGCCGTTGCGCTCATCGCGACATACCCCATACTCGGCAACATCTTCTGGGCTAAACTTTGCGAACGCGCGGGGTGTTGGGCGTCAGGCATTGCACCCGTAATGCTCGAAGACGAGACGCAGGAGTCCCTCTCAGAGAAGCAGAAGCGTAAGCGTTGGGGCGCACGCCTTGAGGAGAGCCAAGAGGAGAAAGCGACGCGCCTTTCCGGCGTGATGAGGCTTTATTTCCACATGCTCTTCGTCTCGTTGGACATGGAGACTCGGGAGCCGCTCCCATTACCGTTCAGGCCTGGGAGATACTGGCTGTATCTGGCGCAATTACTCAATAACAAGGCGATGCTGGGGAAACCCGTTGCTCCAGAGATCATCTACGGTTCGTTGACTTGCATCATTTAAAATTTTCGCTGAGCTGAAAGTCTTACTTATTTTTATCTTTAGTCGCGCTTGATGAGGGTGGACTCCACGCGAAGAATATCTGGGGCAAGCAATTCATCAAGATGCTTCAACTTATATATGAGGGCATCCGTGGCGACGGGAAGACGCGTTTCGGTGGAGATGATGTTCTCGCGCAGGCGTCGAGAGCGCGTTGTCAGCTTGAAATCGAGAAAATTATGGCTCGATGATTGGGCATCTGCTACCGGCTACTGTATATCCACTGCCTATCGCCTCTGCTTTACGCTTTGTCTACCTCTCGTGTTCTCTGTTATATCCTTTGTGCATTCGTTGGTCGCCATCTCGCTTCATTATTCCGGTTTATGTATCTCCCAAGTTAAGCACTTCAATGTATTTGTTAGAGTTACGATGTCAACAATTGCAATGACTGTCATGATTTCGATCCTTAGATCTTCGTCAACTGAGACACTTGCGTCGGCGGTCAAATTAGCCTCAAGTACCGCCTCGTCCAATCTTGTCTGTGTAATGCTTATCCATGGTCTACGACGATCAAACTTCTCACTATACAGTGGGAATCTGAAGTTTAGAGCACTGCTCTGTACACCTGGTTAATTATAGCTTTTAGCTTCTCGCCCCCGTTTAGGCTACGGTGGTTATATAGACGCAATCAACTCTTCGACGATGCTCGTCCTTCCCTCTCTTGGACTCCCATGCAGCTTGTCCACAAGGCTCCGTATCGTGTGCATGCAGATATGCCTGACTGCGAAGACTGCGACTCAAAATCACTCTACTCACTTTGCTCGCAGCAGTCCTCTGATCTCACGGCGTCCGATCTGCCGGGCGCGGGGCGTACCCTCGGACTACTCTATTCGCGCTGGGGGCGCGCGCTCGAGTCGTCTATGAACCGCTTTGCGCACAGGCGTGGATATGGCCCCGATGCTGTTGCCGCAGAAATTGAGCGGACGACGTTCAGCGGAAGGAAGACCGGAGACGGCGTAGAGTGGAATGCCGCAGGGGGCGGCAACGCTCAGCTTCTCGCGCGCTGCCAGAGATTGATAGGTTACACCAGGTACGATTGCTTTCCATAAGTATGTGAGGTGCGCACAGATATTAACATATTATACTTACCTGCAAATAGGTCCGACACGCCGCTAACACGTATGCGTACGCTCGAGCAGGTTATCCAATTGATCACAGCGCAACCGCGCTTGAGGCCATTCTTCCATACACCGACCGTTCTCACTCACGTACGTTCTGTTACCGAACGATCGTCAATTTCAAGTAACACATCGGAAGACTGGGATACGGAAATGGAGCTCGAGAGCGAGATCAACTTCTTGTCCAAGCAGACGCTGTTGTGCATAGAGGATAACCCGCTGAATGAAATCGTCGGTGAAATCCTTCAGCTCCCCTTTCACGAGGACGAGAAATTCTCAGGGTCGGATCGGTATGCTCAAACTATGCTCAAACTTCTAGAAGCTTGTCGGTAAGCCACCGATTTTCAAAACAAAACAGGCGATCGACAGCTTAGTCTTACATTCATATGTACCCAAGAAATCCACAATTCTCATTCGTAGCGAAGCGGCACATGTATAGCGCGTTGAACTATCTTCCCTGGCGCCGAACAGCGAGCTGGAACGTCGGCCAATTCTGGTCTCAGCTTATCCTTTTCTTGGAGCAGCTTGTTTCGCATTCGTTGAACTCTGGAGCTGCAGATATGGAAGGGACGGAACGGCTCGTTGTGACGCTCCTTCTTCCTCGGTGCCGCGCTTTGCACGCCTTAGACTTCCCAATAGGGCGAGCCCGCGCTGTCAATTGCCGATGTGCGAAGAGTGGTCTGGCGACTGACGAGATGCGACTCTTGCTAAAGATGCTCACAAGGTAAGTCTTTGCATTTGTGCTTAACATTGGTGATTGATTAGCGTTGCATATAACAAGTCCGGGAGCGAAAGCCATCTTCCCTAGAGCCGCAGCTATCGCGGATGAAGTATGGACTAGACCATAGAGCACTAGTATCCAATCTCTTCAGTATAGGATCACCCGTGTAGCAAATATTGTATAGCATGATGATTGTACTTTTATTTTTTTCACATGTGATACTTCTCGTCGACTCTCCTACTTTCTCCCTTTCGGGTCGTGGGATATTGACAGCCATGAAGATGGCGCTATTTGATGTTATGGACGAGTGCTATTTTTGAAATTCGACTTCTAACCCAGACAATAAAGAGTTGGCTGTGATTAAAGTCACTGAAAAAAAAAGCAGTATCGATTATGATAGCGCAGCTGAACGTATCACAACCGCGCAGGATAACGGCAAATTGTAATTGTCGATATTCTCAACAAGCAGGCTGTTTCTCAGTACAATGAAGCACCGAACATGATGTAGTAAGAAACGCAACTTAACATAATAATATCTCATGATATGGTATCAATGCTATATGAAATTTCTTGTATTTTTAATCAACAGCCTTGCTCAGCTCAAAACCATTCGTACATGCCTTGTAAAACCATTTTACTGGAGGCTTTTTGCACATAAAACTAACACTCAAGCTTCTGGGAGTCTCAAGACTCGTTTTGCAAAGTTTCAGAACACTAGACTATTCACTTGCTGAGACATGAGGCCAACTGTATTCGACACCCTCGCGAGCCTTATTGTTTCAAGAATACTTAGGGTTTAAATCTTTCCTCGGTGATGAACTTGGCCTCTGCTGCACATTGCCCTTACATACGTGCATTTCAATTTTGACCGCTCTCCCCACAATTACATAAAAAAAGAAGACAGCCAAAAAAGGGGAAAGATCGACGTGAGCACGCGCGTCGATCATTGATTGCATGACCACAATTGCTCATTTCTCCTCCTCTCTCCTCTTTCTTTCCTCCTCTTTCCTCCTCCTTTTCTTTCTCATACCACGCTCTTGATGCCTATCAAAAGCGTGGGAAAGGCCGGCCTAGCTCAATCGGTAGAGCGTGTGACTCTTAAAAAGGAAATAATCACAAGGTTGCGGGTTCGAGCCCCGCGGTTGGTTTCACCGTTCATTTTTTTCCGGTATATTATCTGTATCTCAATATTTTATATTCGTAATTAGAAACACTAGAAACACATACATGTAATGCAACCATATATGTGGTGAAACCGAGTTGAATGACTGCTATAATTCCCAGAAAATCAGATTCCTTCCTGTCAGTGGTTGACAAGAATGAAATCCAACAAGAGAAACTTAGTATCAGCTGAGACATTATCCACGAAAAAACCCGAGCTACAGAGACGCTGGCGTTATAATCTCAGACGACACAAGAGTTCCACTCTTTCACGGGCTTCGCTGTCCATGCGGTCAAAAGCGGAGAAGCGATGGACAGCTGCTACGGTCCTAAAATATTGAAGAAACTATTAGGAATCATCCTGAGAGCAAAAGGGAAGCTGATAAGTTTCCGTAGATGAGTATGAAATTGGTGACTCGGGGATGCTGAGAGACGGCGAAACTCAGATGAGTACAGAGTGAACGGCTACTGGACGTACGAGGCGAATTGAGACTTAGCCGGATTCAACTCTTCTAGATTATGACATTAGTTGAGCATGCTAACTCACATTGTAAAGTAGTCTACAAGTCTAACTTATGCGTTGGAACAGACGGAATGGCAATCTCACTCCCTAGCCATCGAACAAGTCATGGTTGAGCTCAACACCAAATGTGTGCTTTGCCATCTGTCGCATGGCCTTTTCCATGTCGCTCTCCATGCCTTCACCCAGACCTAGCACCTGCCTCAGTCGGCTCGTGTAGAAAACAGCATCGCTAGACAGTAAAACAACACGAAACACGAGATGCCGCCACCAGTTCCGCCAGCGCTCGAACAGCGAGAGGCCCGGATCGTCCACAAGCGCGCGCGATGCCCATGTTCCCATGATCTTCACTCGGTTCACGGGGCTTCCGAGGAACTGGTTGTTCGCCTGCATAATGCGGATCGTGCGTCCGAGGAACAGCAGCTCGCGCGGCCACAGGCGGTCGTCGCCGAGGATGTCGCGTAGTCCTGCGCGCATGCGCTGCTGCATTGCAAAGGCGCGCTCGGCTTCGTCCGCGCCCTCAAGCTCCCCGCTGAGAGAGCGCTCGGTACTCCGGTCGCCGCCAGCATACGGTCGCATGAGCGTCGCGCTCGCGAACGCGTCCGTGTTGCGCACTCCCCACTGCGCCGCGATGCGCTGCAACGCCGCGTTGTCGAGAGCGAGCAGGCTCTTCCAGAACGTGGCATATTCTCGCCGGAAGTCTGGCGCGAGGCGCACATAGAGTCCGTGGTCGATGAGAACGAGCTGCGGCGCGCCGGAGCGCCGCCGCCGCACGAGGATGTTCCCGGGGTGCGGGTCGCAGTGCACATGTCCCCACAGGAAAATCTGAGCAGAGAATAGGTCGACGGTAGTCTGCATGACGTCTGCTAGGCGTAGACCGAGTCCACCTGTCCCATCTGGCCCACGCCACCAGGATCGTTCAGGCTTGAAATCAAGAGAAGTGCCATCGCACCCTGGCGTGCCCACGCCTTTCCCGCCTTTCCAAGGTGCAGTCAGCGTCTCTTTGTCTGAAAGACGTATACCCTCGATCCACTCGGCAGTCATAACTCTCCTCGTAGATAGGCCTCTATGCACCTTTGGAATGTAGACTCGTCCTCGGAGACGCGGCTCAGCCTCGACATATGCGGCTGTGAGTTCAGCATTGTCGGCTTCATTCCTGAAGTCCGTCTCGAGCAGGAGACGCTGGTTGATGTACGGAACCATCGGGTACAAGGGAAGGTCGAAGAATTTGGTGTAGATGTACATTACCGCGCCGAATGCCCATAAATCCCATTTCACCTGCTGAGCGATCTCCCTCTTCTGTATTTTCACGGCCACCTCCCTTCCATCTTCTAGCCTTGCCCAGTGCACCTGTGCCACACTCGCGCTTGCCCTAGCCGACCTCTCTATCGTGCCAAATACCTCCTCCGGGCTCCTCCCTTCAAACTCCTCTCTGATGACCTTCTCCACGTCTGCCCAATCGTTTTGCGGCGCATCGTCGAACATCCGCGAAAACTGCTTCTGAAACTCTGGGGGCATGATTGCGGACTGCATTGCCATAGCCTGTCCAATCTTCAGATAGAGGCCACCGTTGGCGCGTAGCAGGTTATAGATGACATTGGAGTTGCGCTCGTGGAGGGCAGCAATCGAGTCGGCGAAAGGTGGGCGGGCCTGGAAGTTGATCTTGTAGTCGAGAGCAATAAGAGCGCCAGTTAGAAATGTACGGCCGGTGCGCCAGATACACGAAGCGTTGAATTGCTGGTCTACAAAGTACAGCGTGCCGATGCCGATAGCGACGTATGCAGGTCTCTTGATCCATTGAATTTTTGACGAAGAGCGCTTAGACGAAGAATGAAAGCTCCTACACGCCAGCCCTATTGTCCTCGTTTTCCTAAACATTGCTGGCGAGCATTGTATAAACCAACGGTTTGCGACCACAGGCGTGGTCATGGAAAGTTTGCAAGAGTCCGGCAGTGACGAGTCGTCATCAACTTTCGGCAAGTCGATTACAAACTTCTCGCGCCCGTCTAACACAGCTCCGGCTTTCCACCAGTCAAGGTCGACAAATTTTTCAGAGGTAAGGTGCTTGACGGATTAGTAACCATAGGTGTTCGAGGTGCGAGCAAATCGCAGGACATTGGCAGGGCAATGCCCAGTTGTTCGACAGTCATGTGACTGACTTTCTCGAGACGCGTTGTTTACACGTATTGATGCGATCGCTATTCAGCCGACACTTCATTATTGAGAGAAAATAAAACTGAACAAATGTTATCCAAGCTTACATATACTTTAGCGCGAGAGCTTACTAATAGATCTCTGAGTCTCAAACTTTGTTGTGTCACGACATCGCTGGAAATTTAGAGGTTTCGAGCATGATAAATGATTCTTCTTTACAAACCGACAAACAAGTACACAATTAATCCAATTTCAGACATGTAGGGAGAAAATATGGTAGCGAGGAGAAGTCGCACAAAGGTTATTGATGCATCAGGCAGGAAGGAGCTCATCACGCTTCGCATCTATTCCACCGTCGGTATGATAATCCGTCTCCGTTCGCACACTCACAGAAAGAGTACGGCCATCCTATATTTCCCAAAATCTAATTAGCTCCTGGTAATCCCAGTAGTTGGAGAAACAAACATTCTGTCTGAAACCAAAGTGCCCATACGTTGGCGCGCTGATCGTGCCAAACGACGCCCCTTGCTTCGATGGAGACAACGTGCTGAAGGGTGCCATCTGGAACGCGCTCGCGCCCATGTTGTGCGAGTTGTTGTTTATGCTCTCGCGCAGCCTGTCGCGTGCGTTTAACGTAGCTAGCAAGGAGTTGAAATACACTAGCGTGGAAGCGGTATACGAGGGAAGATCAGCATCCGGTTATATGGATGGAGAGCGCGAACGGCGCACATTTGGGGAGGCTAAAGTAGAAACCAATGAAAACATAGTTTTGCGGCATGATAGCGAACTATTGTTCAACTTTGTTAGAGGACTCGGAGAATAAGACGGAGACTGAAGCATGTAAGAAGGATACTGACCGTGACGAAACAACAAACTGCGCATATACTCGTCAGAAGTCCACTGTTGATGACATAAGCCATCAAGACGGTGATCTTTGAATCAGTTCTTTTTATTGTTAGTGACATCCACAACGAGTTGTTGAGCTTCAAGTTTCAGGACATAAATCTGGTCGACGTACGTTTGGAATCCCGTTTTATTCTGTGCGAGGAAGTAGCACAACGTGCTCGCGACCCATAGATCCGCTGCAACTCCGGAGCCCAAGCTAGTGTAGAGTACCCACTGGTAGAGGAAAATGAATTGAGAAGGTGGAGCTAAGAGAGGAGATGACTTACAGAAGCCTTGGTAAACTCCGTTGTAGTAGCAAATGAAAACCTATAGCAAATACCGGGAAGACAAAATTATGTTTCTATAAAGGCGACGGGGCAATTAACCTCACATCTTTATACTGAATCCCATCCCAGACACTTCGTGAGAAACATGATAAGAAAGGAGCCTCTGAAAGGATTGACTAAGAAAGCGCACCAAAGGTCGCGAATGTGAAAGTAGCCTGTCACGAAGTATCGACGAATCATACGTCGTCAGCATTGCAAAATAACATAGAAGTCTAAGATACAAAACTCACCGAGCCCAACATCAAGAACCAGTTTTGTCTGCTCACTTCGAATCCGTCGGAGATCACTATCAGAATACTGCTAGACCGTACACAGCATATGCGAACTTACTTATCCAGACTCGCCGGGTGTAGTAGCTGGTAGAGAGCGTCAAGATAAGGCGGTTTTGCATCAAATCACGAAAGCTCACGATCGGACCAAGAAATCGCTGATGGTCTTTTAGGGGTTACCAAAAGGTGAGGGGAGTTCGATTCATCTCTGCGAGAGCGACTCACGGTAATCGCCACATGTAACTGTTTTTTTCGATTTGCTTCAGCTACGTCGTGCGGCTGCGACCGCATTAGGCAGAACAAAGGACACTTACACAAAGACTCCAGGTCGAAGCAGTGATTGCAGAGAGGTTTGTAAAATTTGTGACCAAGTAGAAGTAAAGAACGTGTGCAATCAGCGCAAGATGAAGCACGTCGAGAAACCTGAGAGAAGGTTAGCCCAATATAATTTCGTGTTAATGATTCTAATGCGGACAGACCAGAGGAAACCGATCTGTATGGCACAAGTATGAGACTGTAGCTCTAATACAAATCACTCAAGCAAGACTAACCGCCCATTTCATGTATCGTGGATCACGCCCATAGCTTTGGTAGTACATGAATGCTTGGATGTTCGTGACTCCGAACAGACTGGCATTATGCTATCAGAATACACAGTGGGTCAGCAATGAGAAACGTACATGGACGCAACAATTAGACCGATGAGCGCGGCGCCCAGCGTGTTGTCGAGGCGGATGTGAAGCGACGCCGGCGTCGGGGGTACAGATGCGGTGGCGTTGTGCAAAGCCATGGTACTATCCTAGCGGCGACGA